CCATCCATTGCTCAACAGTGACTACACCTACAAATTCCCTAAGTCCTTATAACATCAGGAGGAGGAGAAAACCACATCCCAACATCCCTCACATCTATTTGGGGGGGGGGAGCAAAAGCAATATTATTTAGAAAATGAAACATTAATGTTAACGAGAATTCCTAGAGGGAAGGCACAGACTACAGAAACAGGAAATTATCATCATGTTTGATATGGGCAACTGTATCTGCTCAATCTTAAAATTACTTATAAACTATAACATAGCTAAGATATGACTAATCTACATCTGGGAGATTATGCAGATGTAGACCATGTAGATTTGAAAGGGAAACAGAAAATATGGGAAATGGCATTTTGCTCATACGGGTATGTAAAAACACCATTAAAAAGCGAATAAATGAAATTTGCTGGTTCCAGACTAAATGTCTTTAATTTTTAGTTTTTGAAATTAAAAATAACCAAAATTCTGACATTAAAAAAAAAAAAGCCATGTCAAGCTCAAGAATACTTTATTGTCTTTTTTTTTTCCCCCCTGTGATATGCTTGGTTTTTCATATACAAATTGATTTTAATGTGGAGGTTTGTTCCACTATACACACCAACCCTGTTTCCATTCCTAGTCTACCTAGGAAGACTTTACTGTAGACTCAAACCCATGAATAAATTAATGTATTCCAAAGAAAGATATAAACTACATTAGAAAAGGGGAAAAATAATTAAAATAAAACTCAGATCTCTTCATAAATGCATCAGAAAATAATAAAACATTATCTGAAATAGTGCTGGAAAGCCTGCAAATCCTAAAATTCTTCAGATTGTTACCTCCAATGAAAGAAGAAGAGACTAACAGAAATTGGCCTGTTAACATACAGCCTATGCCCTTAGATCATCCTTAGGGTGATTAGTTTAAGAGAACATTAAGACAAAATAGAAAAAGTAGATGTATTTATATTTTCCACCAGGGAGTGGAGAGAAGGGTTAGACCAATACTTCTTTTATTTCAGCAAGGCATTAAAATAAGAGATCAGCAGAATCAGTAAAGATAGTCATTGTCCTGTTTTTATATCATTTGTAAAAGCAAAGCTTTGTTTTATGCCAAACTGCAAATAGCATGAACATTCCAGACAAGCCCAAACTAACAATCAGAAAATACTTATGAAAAAGACACATGGTCATTTAACTGTTTCTTAAAACTTGCTTCCCATATTCAACTTTCCTCACAGGAACAGCCAACTTCATTTTTGGCTCTATTCTCAACTACTGCTTTGCTTATAGTCCCCTCAGCTGTCAGATACCAGAACAATAAAAGTCCGAAACAATAAAAAAGCATTCAGAAGCAGCTCATGCAGATACCTCCCTAATACACTGAGCTATAAGAGGAAGAAGGAGGTCCAGCACAATCAGACTTGCAAGATTCTGTTATTATAGCCAATGTCAATGAAAATAGTTTTAGCCTTCATGTAGAGTGGATTTCTTGGTCTGGTCTACCCAGTGGATCTGACAGTGGTGCCCAAACATCATCCCGAAATGCTCTCCAGAAAAGCTGTGTTTCTACTCACTTCTAGAAGTCCATTAGGATGGGTCCTAACCTGGACTGAACAGGAAGGCTTATCATTCCCCTGTGTCTGGGGGAATATTTAAATGTTCAAATAATGTGATTTAGGATATGATCTTGTAAGTTCTTCAGGGCCAATTTTATTAAAAAAAGAAAAAGATAAATAATATTAAGATTGTAATTGGCATTGAGGCATCCATGTAATTGGCACACCGAATTTCTGGGTCATTAATATTTTATCCCAACCATTAGGGAAATGTTTATGAATAAATAGTTCTCAGAGGGTTGCAAACCAGGTCTGGCAATACTTTTGTCAATAATCCCAGATTTGTATTCTGTTGTCTTAATGTATTTCTTCAACTAAAATAAGCAGATTCATGAAAATATTTTTTAAAAAACCACCAAAAAAGTACTATATGGAAAAAAATTTGAAAATTTATTCTAAAGAAAAGTAAAAATGTACATATAACTACAGTATCACACAGAAGTGAGATCCTTTGTATGTGCCTTATCCCAGAAAATGTCCCTAAAACTTTATTTCCAAACTTATTACAAATACTGTATACTAAAACAAGTGGTAAGTCTTTCTCAAATATCTGTGGTATATAGTTATAGACCAAAAACATTAGCTTCATTCATGACATTATAAATGAAATAGTCATGTAATATCAAATATTTGAATATCAATGAAACTTCATAGTATTCTATTTACTACACAAAGCTTGTTTTGCTACCTTAAAAAGATGATGAATTCTTTGAAGATTCAAGTGTGCTCCAAGGAAAGCTAGAAGGTTGTACAGTTAACTCCTGGGTGTAATTCTAAACCATACAACCTACTACCTCAACCCGGATGCACACAGCTTGTAATGTCTTCTGATCTTCTCTTTTAGAAAAGTAAGGAATTTATCAAATTTAACTTGAACATGGAAAGGTCACTGAACATTTGGCATCTGTCCTGTTCATGTTGTTCTGTTGACTATGTTTACTTTTACACAATAAGATGCCTTCTTCAAATTATGAGGTTGCACTAATTCAAATGAATCATATTCAAAATATACATTTTACATAAATGTGCTTTGTAGGAACAATAAACTTTTTAGGGCCACTTTACCCACTAGCAAAAGAGGTGTTTTCCACATGTCTTCCCATAATGAACTTCTTTAAAGTTAAAATGTATGTATCAATGGTCTGGCATGCAGAAAATTTCAGGTTTCATCTCTTGTATCAGTATTTTCTTTTAAATATAATGATCAGGCAGCAGTTGATCTAAAATATCTCTGCTTCAGTCTGTTCAGTTTGTTTCACTCATAATAGATCTGGTTAACCTGTAAGAAAGGTGTGCGATGATATGTGTGTATGTGTGTGAGAAAGGGAGAGAGAGAGGGAGAGAGAAAGAGTGGGGGGGTAACCCCATTCAGTAATGTCAAGCAGGTCCCATGATTTGTTTCAGAAGACAAGCTTGCCCTTGGGCTAAAAAAGATTATCTACAGTATCTTCAGCACATGGCTAAGTGTGCAAGGAGTCTGTCCAGATTTTGTCTCCACAAACCAGCTTTTTAATGTTTATTTATTTGAAATATTTCTTTACCGCTGCTCAGGCTATGCTGCTCAGGCTATGCAGGAACTCTACCATATTAAACTTAGGTACATTTGATGATTCTAAATTGTACAATATATGCATAAACCACTGTTATTAACATCTATGGGTATTTTTATATTCCCACCTTTTGGCACGTAAGTGGATATGCTACATCCTTCCATCTTTTTCTCTCTCTCTCTCTCTTCCTCAACCACCGTCACTTTACAAGAGTATAAATCCCACTGGGATGTAATCACTTGCAGTTATTGTATCTGATAATCCACAGACTTGCAGACCTGTGCAATTTCTTATTGCCAGCTGTGGAATGGCCAATTTTGTATTCCCAGGCTACTGCAATTCCATATGTACTAATAAGAAAGCCAACTTCAGTTTTTCCTTGTTAGATTTTGGTTATTGCTTTAAATCATTGTGAAAATAATTTAAAAGCATTGTCCTGGAATGAATGAATGAATGAATGAATGAATGAATGAATGAATGAATGAATGAATGAATTTTATTCTGCTTGAAATAGTTGCCTATAAATCAATAGTGATCCTTGATATACCTTGGTATATACAATCTTGTTAAATCACCAGACTGACACTGACCCATAGAAACGAGCTTGTGCACTATATTTCACCACAAGATCGGATCTACGGGTTTATGCCAATTGGCACCAATGGAAACAAGTTTGAAAAAATCATTGCTAACCATTTATGATGAGGAACAATGAATCTTAAATTCATATTTGATAAATTGTACAAAACATAAGATGGTTATCATTACGCATATTGAATATTGAAAAACTACCAAACTAGAAAATATATTTATCCAGCATATTATGACAAAATCATTTGATTTTGACAAACACTTTATCCAAACACTGGATAAATTTTGGCTGTTTAAATACTGGCAGTTCAAATTTCATAATTAAAACTTTAAAAAAAAATATTCTGCAAATTTACCAGGTTACTGAAGAATAAAAAATCAAACTCTCAATCTGAAAATGCTTGGTATTCAAATAAATATCCAGTAGCTCTGATTAGCCTCTTAAACTCAGAGACTAAAACACAGTTACTCAGATTTGTTAAATCAGTATTCAAACAGTAGCAACAAATGCAAATAACATTTGGTTGTGGATTCTTCAAAAAAATTATATTAAATAGGATCATTAGACGGAGTGAAGTGATCAACCTATGTATCCCCATCTGTTGTCTTCCATTAGAAGAAAGAGATGCATATGCCTTATGACCCATCATGGGCCCACAAAGTAGAATGAGCCCCAGTGTCAGTAGCTAGGTAAGCTATGTTTCACTTAATAGATTGTATTATAGGTTGAAACCCTACAGGCCATTCCCTGAAGGTTTTTTTTTTTTTGGTATCTCAATACCTAACCAATAAAAAAGTATCTTCATTATTTCTCACTTACACCATGATGTTTTAGCAGAAACTTTGCTATAAAAACATTTATTCTTTGATTCCAATATACTATATTGTCTTCCTAGAATATTTTTCCATGCAAACCTATAGTAAAAAACTTATGATGTCATCATATTTGATTCTTGGAATGGAATGTACTCCCAGGTAAATGTAAATAGACAAAGATTTCTTCAGAGAAAGTCATTGTATTACACATCTGTTGTAAACGAATAACATTATTTCACATACTTTACATAAGGAATTCAATTTGGTTCTCTTCACTGACAAATCTTTATTTCAGATAATGAATCCAAAATATTTAAATAAGATTTTTAGGGCAAAGTAAGCTTATACGCTGTACTTATATGATTAGTTAAAGGTTTGCATTGAAAGGCTACTAAAATAGTATGTATGAAGCTATACAAAGATACATTTAATATTTGATTACCTTATTCAGTTCTTATATGATCAAATTCTTCATCTGGTTTTTTCCATTTATTTTTCATATCACTATAATAGAATTAAGAAATATAGCATGAAACAGTTCTGTATAAAGAGATAATTAAAAAATTATGTCACAAGATCATGTCATCCTGATGCCCCTCCTGAGCTCTTTGGCAGGACATACTTAACTAACTTTTTCAACAATTAAATGTAAAAGGAATAGTGTACTTTTACTTAAAAGTAATAATGGAAAAATATTTTTATATGGTACAAAAATGAAAGATATGCTATTTAGCAATGAGATGAATGCTGCAATCCTATGCAACTTCCAGGAAATCATGCATAACATTGTAGCCTAAAACTATGGTAACTTTTACTATACTAATTTATATGTTTACAAAAGCAAGCACTCCTTGTTTATGAAACATTTTTTTCCACTAAAGCAATAGAACTAACGGCATCTTAAAGGTAATTCTCGTTTATCAACTGCAAATGATCACTACGCGACATGGTTGCTAAGCGAACCACGTGACAGAGAGAGAGAGCAAGACCTGTGAAGATTGTTGGTTGCTGGTGTCTCATTCAGATAAATGAGCAACAATGCCACCATTACTCCCATTCCAGCATGCACTGTTGTCAGCCACAGAAATTTGGCGTAAGAGCGCACATTGGTGGGAAAATGATTTTTTTTTTACTACCGTTTACTACTGTTTATTACTATCATATTTATGAACAGTCACTTAACGAGGCAGCTGCTAAACAAGGACTTTTTTGTTTTTTTGGTTTTTTGGTGCCTTCAAATCAGTTTTTTGACTCCTGGTGACTGCCTTGACTAGTTTCTCCAGTTATCTTGGCAATATTTTGGAAGTGGTTTGTCATTGCCTGCTTCTTACTGCTGACAGAGAGTGACTGGCCCAAGGTCACCCAGCTGGTTTTCTATGTAAGGCAGCACTAGAACTCAAAGTTTCCTGGTTTCTAGCCTGATGCCTTAACCATTACCTGTATTTTAATCTCAATATGCAGAGAAAGATTGAAGCACCAAGATAATTAAAAACTTTGTTAACATTCTAGTTAAGGATTTATATTTGTGAAATGTGCATGATTTTTTCACTTGGCAGTGACTGTGAATGCTTTCTAACAAACCAAAAACAATATAATAAATTCCATATTTGATAGCACACAATGAACCATTGGAAATATGCCGTCTTTACAGAACTTGCATGTATGTCTGTAGACAATGTAACTATTACTTCTTTATTAATAATGTTTAACTTAAAATATATTTTTTTCATACTGAACATAGTTAAGTTGCTTTTTGAAAGAGAAATAAAGAAAACTCAAGGCACAGAAAGGTGTGCACAATACTACACACTGACCTGAATTGTTTTTGCCCTCTATCTTCAAGTGAAAATTAATTTGGATTAGAAATTAGAAATATTCAAGTTGCACAGTAACAAACATTGCAAACAGCTGATTTGCTGAATTGGCATTACCTTTCATTACCATAAGCACATCTACATGGCCCCCTTAAAAAACAAATGGTGCCTCACATTTTCACTTAACTATTCCTGGAAAAGTACCAGAGACCCTGAAATAGACACTGTTACCAACTGGAAATCTGCTCACTATATCAACTTCTAAGCATGTGGTTTATGACACTAAATAATTTGTGATGCTATATAGAAATGATGAGGAATTTTTTTAGTGCCAGAAGAATTAACATTTTGTTTTTAAGTACTCACTAGAAAACTGACTTATTCTATCAGTTTGATAGAGCTTGAACTACTCTGTTTAAGGAAAAACAAGCTTGCATTTCTTAAGAGCAACCCCTGTGTAACTAATGTCATACTGATAATCAAAATTTATACTGAATAAGAATCAGACAAGAGGTATTTACGTTACTTTATCACTTAATTAAGATTAAATGTGGTCCAAAGTTAATCATAACATTCTTAGGCCTTCATTTGTTTTTAGGAGTATTGTGACATGAATGGAAAAGCCCTTAAAAGCAATCCAATTAGTCAGACAATTACAAGGATTTCAGATTAAAAATGAAAATAAAAGCACTGAAATAAATATGCTATGCATCTGTTTGGGAAAAAAAATGTCACCCATCACAACACATTGTGACTCAAATCACATGGCACAAATCAATCATTTGATCTTATTAGGCTATGTCCTAAGTAGCCTAAACATGCCTTATGGTCATTATTTTGTGAACAAGTCAGTTAACTTCATTTCCAAACTCAGGATTGATAGCTTCCTGGGTACTGATAGGTCTAGGCTTAAGAACCAGAAAGTCTGCTGTATTTTTGCTATTTCTCTCAGAATTCCAATCACACAGAAAAACACCCAAGCAATTCTTGTGATAACTCTCTGTGAAGCACTAGAAGCAAGACAAACCAGCCCCTGTGCAAAAACAACAATGAAATCATTGTGCTGATTTCATAAATGAGGATTGCAAAAACTTGCCAAAGGAAAGGGGCAAAAAGGCAGGATGCCAGTTGAATACACAGTGCTTACAATGAGCTCATGCTCAGGGGAGTGCAGTTGCCGGGTTTGCCCTGTTCAAATGCCTGTTCAGCAAAACATGAGAAATTTGTATTTATCAGCACTCTAGAACTGGGTGTTATAAACTTCCCTTCTTGCAAAACACAAACACATGTATGCAAACACAGACACCTTCTCTGAACAAAATCTTCATCCTCTCTGGAAGCGGCATCCCTTGGTGGGGAATGAGAGAGAGAGAAAGAGAGAAAGAGAGAAAGAGAGAAAGAGAGAAAGAGAGAAAGAGAGAGGGAGGGAGGAAGGAAGGAAGGAAGGAAGGAAGGAAGGAAGGAAGGAAGGAAGGAAGGAAGGAAGGGTGGGGGTTCAAGCCTAAATTACTTGCAGAGTTTATTTAAAATCAGATTCAAAGGCCCACCATTTTCTGAGACATGCAAGAAAAAAGCAATAAAGGAAAAACTCAGGAGTTCTACTTTTTGAGTCCCTGTTGGTATGATTGCAAAATATCATCCATAAAGGTCACATCTTTTTATCCAAATATTGAGGGCATTCCCAGAAACCATTCTGCAAAGGCAGCTATTGTCTAGCTTATACCCAAAGTTCAGCCCTCTCTTCACTGAATTAGCTAAAAAATGCATCACAATTGGGACTTAGGAGTCATAGTAATGTCTACCTGGCCAGCTGCCCACCTTTTCTGCCCATCAACCAGAGGCAGAATTATCCTGCATAAATGTAAGGATGCCTGGGGAGTGGAGAATCATCCAAAGTGAATCTGATTCTTGTTCATTTGCTTCTTGGCAGATATAGGGTGGGACTGGCTGGGACATGTGGAAGAGAGGAAAAGAAACAGGACAGTTCCTAAATATAGCAGTTAAAATCTTTTTACACTTGCGTACTTTAGAACTTGCCTCAACTGAGCTAAATGCTTAGACATCAAGCTACCTTTCTCTCTGAACAATACAATACAATTCTATATAGATAAAAGCCAAAATCCAAGATAGAACAACATTAATCACATACCTATCCCTGGAAAAGACAGGCCTTAATAACAGTTCTGAAACCTGCAGGGTTGGGAAAATACAGATCTTAAGAGGAATACTGTTGCATAGAATGAGGCAGTGACAAAAAGCCCTGTGTCTGAGGTCCCTACAGGTGATATTCCCTGAGTGAAGAAGCCTGGAGGAAGCAGCCTCTACCTGCTATTATTGAATGTGTAGAACCAGTTAGAAGAAGGCAATCCCCCAAATACCCAGCCCTGAAAAGCTTTAGAGGTGAAAAACAGTATCTTGAATTGCATTCAGAAACAGACAGTGGAGCTGTCAAAGCAGAGGTGTTACATAAGCAAATTGAGTTTTGCCCATAACTACTTGAGCAGATGCATCCGGGACCAGATATAGCTTCTGAGTGGTCTTCAAGGGCAATCCCATGTAGAGTGTGTTTCAATAGTTTGAATGAGAGGTGACCAAGACACAAGTGATGTTGAAATGGCTTCCTATTCTAAGATTCTTTTTAAATGAGAATTGAAATAAATAATTGTATGATTTGCACTCAATTTTATTTTTGAGTTGCATATAAATAACATATTAATCTAGGTCTTGTTAGGAACTTCTCTTTATGTTACTAAAACCAACTATGTATCACTGCAAATTAGATAGTCAAAGAAAGAAACAAAATATACAGTGGGAGAACATAGGGAAAGAGAAGAGAGAAGTGTGAAATCCTGAGACTCATACCTGTAACATCAAATCAAGGTTTGCAATTAATGTGAACCAAACCATTAAGTACAACGAAGAATTATTTAATATTAACAAGAGCTCATGTAGTTATACATACATACCTATCATAGTATTTCCTGTGGGGTTGGTGGTGAAGAAAAAGGTGTACAGACTTAAAGGAATTAAGAACATGGTATAAGGGAAATAAAAGAACATATAGCTGCAACTATACCTCACCATATTGCAAACCATCCTTGCTTCCACATTCATTTACTTCTTCATACATTGCCTTTTCTGTGAAATTCTTACTTTTCTATTTTTCAGGAATCTTATCTCCCTCTGACCACACCTTTCTTGGACTTCCCCTTCTTCTTGACCCATTCACTTTTCCTTCCTATATTTGTTTTGCAAGTCAGTCTCTCTGACTAAACTACCTCAATGTACTTCTTTCATACTAATCACTCACTTTTCCATTCCACTGACTTTCATTCATTGCACATTCATTCTTGATCTTATTTTTGGTTTTATAACACACTTCTTAAATATCACATTCCCACTGCTTTCAACTTGCTTTTATATTACACTTAACTCTCACTGCCATAAAGAAAAGTGTATAGATGCATGCTCTTACAAACAGCCATTTTGGTATTTTTGACAAACATACATTCGCTGGAGTATATCACATAAAATCCACTTTTTGTACAGCACATTTATATCTTACAATTTCTCTATCCATTTCCCCATCTTTAGTAGACATTCAACCAAGATACATAGATTTATCTATCTGCTTTATTTTTCACCAGTCACATATAATACTGTATGGAATCTTCAGTTATACTTTTTTTG